GGAAACTCATTAGTATGCTCATTATAAAGTCATTAGTGTGCCACATACTAATTGGATTTAAACCTATAGAGTCACATAACTGTCTTCAATAAGATCAATATGTGCCTTTATTTTTCCAAATTTTATACTAGCCTTTTTTCCACTCACATGGAGAAAAAAAGAAATGGGGAACGGGACTGGTAAATGTCACAAGCTGGATACAAACTGTTTCGCCTACATGAGCACCATAGGTCAGAGTATGAGAGCATGTGTGCTAACTGCTTGGTTCCAAAACAGTAACAGTAGTCACTGATGATTCAGAGACATTTGGAAAATTTGATGAAAATTTGATGATGTGTTGTCCGTGCAGGGGAAATTAAGATTCTTTTGAAGCCTGAGCATTCAACTATCTCGGTAAAGCTGCCGGTACTGAGATTCTCAATGCTGCAAGATTGCAAAATATCCTGGTTTCAAAGAGACAAAGTTCAAACAAGGTTGATAAAACCACAGCAAGCCCAAGGGAAAATCTTTCCCGTATTTTAATCTTTTCATTCTCTCTCTCTCACGCACACACAGAGTCAATCTGAAATGCATTACCCAAGATTTGGTGGCCAGCTCTGTATGAGGTTGGAATATATTGAATAGTGAAAAACAAAAATTGATAATAGACTCCCAAACCCCTTTATCATCATCAGATTAAAATTCATATTTCACTGCACTTGCTGCTCTGGAAAGTATATATTGATTAAATAAGCGGGACTCCTTAGATGCCTTTTGAGGGAGATTTCTGGGTTAAAACTGGTGCGCCGGTGGGAAGTGAACCTGTGTGAAACAGATGCTATTGATGGAAAGGAGGCTGTGGAATTGGCCAGTCGCTCTCTTCACAGCAGTGAAAGTGAGAGAGTGAAAATCTCATGTATCCCCAGAGAACTGAGGCGACAGACAGTCTGAAAGAGTGAGACACTTCAGTACCGACAGCCTGTCATAGTGACAGAGGCATCTGCCAGACTTCACACATACATACACACACACACACACACACACACACACACACATTCTTGGTCACTTGCTTTCTACCTCTCTCAATCACTCTCACTCACTTTGTCTCTGTCTGTCTCATGTGTTCCCTATTTAGAGAACACAAAATGTATGCAGACCTGCATACTGCAGCAGTTTAAAAATGCAGCTTTTTGCACTTTCAGTCCCTGCTACACTGGAATATGCCTACTCATAATACGATTATAAATACTTATAAAGTGACTTACAAAGTAAAATAAAATAAAATACAATAAAAATAGGACTGGCCAACTATCCAGGGTGTTTCCCTGCCTGAGGCCGCAGATGCTAAGATATACAAAGCTTTAAAAAATTCTAATAACTCTAATAACTATTTTTACTGTTTTTCTTCATTTTTCAGTGCGCACACAAACACATATTCACAACCCAAAACTCAGAGTGGCCAGTAGTGCATCTTTGGCCTTCATAGTCTGCTGTATGTATTGTTGTGAGCACTGAGAGTCACCCACGCTGAGTGGAACCCCATAAAGCCGTCTTTATGAGCGACTAAGAGGCTTTCCCTCCTGCAGAATCATCACCTTCTCCTGCAAAAGGACAATGATGACGAGGGAAATGTATCAGCAAACTGCCATAGCAGAAATAGTCCACGGAAAGCCGCTCAGACAGCATATCACAGTCTAAACTGCTTTAAAATAAAGCAGCTCGGCTCCGATCTCCTAGACTGGCCGGAGGAGACATATGCTGCATTCAGATAAACCACTGCTGCTCATCATTTAGAGCTGCAGGGAACACCTAGGTCGAGGAGTCGTCAGGGGTCAGGGTCAAAGGTTAAATGGGAATGGCCAGAGTTCAGCTAGCGAGCAGGTGCTGAAGTCAGAGGAGCATTGCTGAGCCGTATTTTGTGATATTCTGTTGGGTCCTGTGACATTTTAGTGAGTCTTTGTCTTTCAATAATCTAAAGCTTTTGGTAAATAAAGTGATCTGCTTCAGACAGCCACAGCCATTGGTTGAATGCATCCTGACCAAAAGATGTTCACAATGGTCCTAACTCAATGTTATCAATGCTTTGAAGATCAATACTGCTTAACTGCACTAACATTCAACATTTTCTTAAAGAAATTAATACTTTTATTCAGCAAGGATGCATTAATTTAATTAGAAGTGACAGTATAGTTTACATAGTTACAAAAAAAATTATTTTCAAATAAATGTTCATCTTCTGAACTTTCATTCATCAAACGTCTATCACAGTTTTCCACAAAAATATTAACCGTTTTCAACCCTGATAACAATAATAAAAGTTTCTTGAGCAGCATGATTTTGCACGAATCATTTATCAGAATGAATTCTGAAAACTGAAATAATGGCTTCTAAAAATTCAGCTTTGCTATCACAGGAATAACAAAAATAATGCAGGTACTACTGTTCAAATATTTCTTATGCTCACCAAGGCTGCATTTATTTTTGTTTAACTGAACCCTCTCATGTTGATATCACTGAATGACAGTTAAATAATGAATACAGTCATCTGTGCAAGTAAAACAGGACATAATTTCATTACCTTGGAGTAAAGCTCCATACGTTTCCTGCCTCTGAAATCATATGCTCTCTATAAACTGAAATGAGATCAGCATAAAAACACTATAATGAGAAAGTACATCTGTGGCTTTTGCTCTGCTGTACAGCATGAAGCAGAAAGATTAGAGCAGCTCTTATTAAATGTCTTAAAAGGATTTCAAAAAGCTCTAAGTGATTATGTCTGGCAGACCCTCCATCGGAGCACTGACTTTCACAATAGCAAAGGGTTAAAGCTTTCCTAAAGATTAAACATTCACCACATTTCCTACAGTCATCCATCTTATAACAAAGAAACCCAGTGACAACATATTCTGCTTGATATAACCAGGAAATATTTAGTTTTAACAGACAAATGGACCACAAGAGTTTGGACCTTTAGAAAAATGGGATAAAATATTGTTAATAATATAATATCGTTATGAAATAGTATATCAAACAATTCAAATCATTCATAAGATCATATGGACCCATACTTTTTATTATTATTTTTTTTTAAGTCAACATGAAATGAAAATTGCAACCATTTTTTCCCCCATTGTGAGACGTATATCCTAATGAAATGGCTTCACAAATGAGAAAAAGAATGTAAGACGGGACTTGATTTTGTCTATCGGGAATTGATTGGACTGCGATCATTTCATGTGAGTGACAGGTTGCTGGAGGAGAGGGATTGAAACTTGGCTGGCTATTGAGCCACTGTTGGCCACTCGTCTTGGCTATTGGTTATCGTTTTTGATGTAAAATTACAGGAAGTTTTTTTTTTTTTTTTAAATCATGGTATGCACTGATAAATTCTTTATAATAAATGCTGCAAAATTCCAAAAAAAAGAAGAACTGTCAGTTTTACTTTCACGATGAATTTAAATATTGTTGCTAATCTGATGACCAATAATCATACATGATTCCTGACCCCTAAATATCCATGAATTTTGTGTTTTTCATCTGTGACCAGAACTCATTTGGTCTATTTTCCAGATTTTTCCATGACCCTTTAAGAATTTAATAATTGCTGTGACTTTTCCAGGCCAAACCAAGGCAAACTCATATTAGGGTTGTGACGGTGAGGACATTTTCCCACCGATTAATCGATGTGTGATTTTACTTTCACTTTCAAATAGTGGCAATTCAGCGTAAAGCAATTGTTCGTTTGAATTTTCCCTCTTTTCCTCGCTTTCCTTCACTTTTAAATAGCTTAAAAGCACCGTGTGCATTTTACTTTCACTTTACTTTCAAATTAGTGTCAATTCGGCGTCAATTGCTTGAATGCAACAACAAAATACAACGTCAAACTCACTTTAGCCTATATATAAAACATAGAACTTTCTATGTTTGGGCAAGTGACGTAACCGGTGTTGCGGCTTAACAACGGTATCACCATCAGCACCGTCTATCGCGGCAAGCCTAACTCATATCCCTGATATTTCCAAGTTTTCCAGTACTGTGTGAACCCTGGTAGTACTTTGAGTAGGGTGACCATACGTGCCATTTTTTTACCCGGATGCGTCCTGGCCAGGATTTCTATATTGCCTAAAATATCTAGGTTTTGGCTTTGTTTGCGTGTGCAGACCGATCGGTGTATGACATCAAAATACCATATAGGGATATGCCGGTATCAATTTTTCATGTTGCGATTAATTGCTAATGCTTTTATCACGGTATGCGGTATTATCACGGCATTGAATCATATATACTGTCATAATACAGTATAACAGGTTTAATAACTTTTTTCTTATAACAAAAAACTACTTTTCGATCATTACCTTCAGCAAGCATGAAAACAGGAAAAATCAAAGCCAAAACAAATCCTGGCATGGACGCGTCCGGGGAAAATGGCACATATGGTCACCCTAACTTTGAGCCATAATCAACACCTTTTACTACATTTTCCCTTAAAATGCTTACAGAAAATGTGAAAAAGGTTTGCAGATTCCATCTAGAACAGTGGTTCCAGACATTCAGAGGGACCCGGATATCATAAAATTATTTAATCAGTCATAAAAGTGAATGAAAAATTAATCTATATTAATGTAATCTTAATTTAGCTAAAAACACTAAAAATAAAGATGTACAAGATTAAACTGACATCCTATTTTTGAGTTGTTTTCATTAATAAATTAATACTAAATTAAATTGTTTATTTATTTAATTACCATCGGTTTAGATAAATGGGTCTGAATAATGTCTTGTCTTGGGAGTCTTTGAGTCAAAACTGTTTAGAACCGTTCAAAAGCTACTACTGACTAAACAAATTTTTTCACAAAAGAGCATCATCACTAGAAAAACAGGAAATGCTGAATGTTGAGAGTATACAGTACATAGCCACAATTTATCATATAAAATAGCAAAGAAAGACACAGTATGTTGTAATGAATGCTTTGTTTGGCCAAAGAGAACATCATACTGTGCTGAGGAAGTGGCACACTCACTGTTTGTTGTGTCTTCTTCTGTGATGCATTCCCGAATGGAGTCTGTTAGACCAAGGCTGGCCGCACTGGGCAGAGGCCCGAGGAGGGCTGTCAGTGGCACATGTGTGGCCTGACTGGAGAGCGGTACTGTATCCCTGCTCCCCTCCTGATCCTCCATTCCTCCTCGGTCCCCCTGTTGAAACACCTGACAGATGAACTCCTGGTTGAGATGTTGAGCTGCTGCCTCCATTTCCTCATCCTCTAGTTCTTCATCTCCAGTCATCCCAGAGGCCAAAGAAACACAGTCATCATCTAAAAGGGTGTTACAGCATGAATCAAAAACCAACATCTGCACGTGAATGAGCATAAAACCACACAATACTCTCTATTAAGAAAAAATATCATCAGCGAACTGTGCTCAGATGAGCCTAGGTGTAATAAATAAACATGCAGAGCACTTGATTTGATCTACCTTCTTTTGCGTAGGAGGCATAAATCCCTCTCAGTTTGGTTCTGCTGCTCGCTGCCAGCTGTGTCTCAATCTCATCGCGGTATGAGTTGATCTCACCTGCAGACAACGTACACACACATACACATAAGCCTGATGTCTCTGATAGTTTGATTTTTTGTCTGAAAAATATTCAGCATGCAACATGAATTCCTTGGTAGAGTGTGTTCAACGTTCAGATTATGTATGCTAATGGTACGTCAAGTAATGATGTATAGTCCTAATATATGGAGGCATTTATGGAAACAGCTGCTGTCGGTAAGGTGGGCACTCTAAACCACAAGGGAACTTGACATTCATAATCATCAAAAAAATCTTGAAATGCTTAGTGTAGCCAAGATAACGCACCACAGAGAGCATTCAGATGCCATGTTGAGTCAATAGAGAGAATCAATATCTTATTCCAGGAGGACAGACTAACCTTGGTATTCCTCAAGTTTCTTGGCCAGCTCCTGCTCCAGCTGAAACAATGACATTTCAATTAAGAGAACCATTTATCCAGAGTCTCATATGGCTGAATCTTATATTCATAGCTTCATATCTGGTCACACACACCCACACTATTGTATTCGGTCAGTACGATTTTGAAATGTTTTTGAAATAAGTCTCTTAAAATATCTTATTATTATCAATATTGAAAACAGTTGTGCTGCTTAATATTTTTGTGGAAACAGTGATATATTTTTTCAGGATTCTTTGAATAGAAAGTTCAAAAGGACAGAATTTATTTGAAATAGAAGTCTTTTGTAAATGTATTTATAAATGTATTTCACTTTTGATCAGTTTAATGCCTCCTTGCTAAACATAAGCATTAATTTCTTTCAAAAAAAGAATAAATAAATAAATAAATATCTCAACAGCCATGTATCCCCCATATGAGTACCTGCTGCATCTTGAGTTTTTTCTGTCCTGCAACAAAAGACGGAGGATCACATTCTTTCTCAAGGTCCACTCGCATGAACTCATCGATGGTCAGGGCACTGGTGGGGGTCTCCTCAAACTCTGTCAGCCTGGTTGATACAGTAATTAAATGATATTTAATAATATTGACAAGATATATCCAATATTGACTGATACCAATATGGTACCGATATATATTGTACATCCCTAGTTCTACTGTGAAAAATTAAATGTGAGATATTTAAACATTATGTTTCAAACATTAGTTTGGACACTACATGTTTTTGGGTGACAATAGCAGTCAATTTCCCTAAAAATATGCTCAGATAAGCCATGATATTCACCTTTTTCTCAGCGTGGCCTCACACACCTTGACGACAGATATCACCTCCTTAACCGTACGACGGAATTCATGCATACGAGCTGCTACGAGCAGAGCTGGGAGGACATGGGAGAGAAAATGAGGATAAATGTTTTGTCCCAAACAGTATTTTTTCTCAATTTGTATGACATTTCACCCTTGTGCAAATATACAGTGTATGTACCATACAAAAGTGTTGAGAGTGCATTTTCTATAGTAAGGGAGCAATTGTAAAAAGAATCTCTGCAGATGCTGAGGTGTGTTGTGCGATACAATAACCTGGTTAGTAGGCATTATGTAAATTGTGCTGTGGAGTTGTGTTTAAGGGAAAAACAACAAAACAAGCCTATACAATCCCATTTCCATCCACTGTCAACATAAAACCAAATGCTCATCCGATATATTTAGACAATATTTCTATAAGCGAACAATATATTTATTCACTAACACTTGTGTAGGATTTTTTTTGTCCTAAAAAGCACAAAAAAAAAGCATTTTGTCAGATCAATTTTGATCTGTATAAAAACACAAAAAATGACCGTTTACAAAAATGTAAATATTACATATTAAATGTTAGTAAAATGTTTACTAACAATAATATAGTATTATAATTTTCAATATATTTATTATATATCTTTATTGCTTGGGCACACATCATTTTTGTTACTTTGAAATAAGTAAAACTTGTATGTTGTATGTTCACTTAGTTGTTCAGTTTCTAATAAAATTAAATAAATAAATAAACAAACAATTGTTTTATAGTAGAAAAATTATTACAATTTAAAATGCAACTTTATTTTAATAGATTTCAAAATTTTAATTTATTCCTGCAATGCAAAGCTGTATTTTCAGGAGCCATTACTCCAGTCTTCAGTGTCACATGATCTTTTAGAAATCATTCTAATATGCTGATTTGCTGCTCAAGAAACATGTCTTCTTATTATCAATATTTAAAACAGTTGTGCTACTTATTAGTTTTGTGGAAATGGTGATACATATTCAGGATTTTTTGATGAACAGAAAGAGAACGGCATTTATTTGAAATGGAATTTTTTGTAAAAATGTAAAAGTATGTACTGTCAAATTAATCAATTTAATGCATCGGTGCTAAATAGAATTAATAATTTCTGCACAAATAAATGCATATTCTAAATTGTATCCTAAATTCAGCAAAAATCGAAGTGCAAACTTACTGATGAATAATAATTTCTGAGTGAAACCGTTCGCACAAACACATGAGTGCAAGATTGAATCTTTTGCACTTTTTTACTTTTATCTTGATATTTGTTTTTGCAGTGTTCACACTCTGAGCCAGAAGGTGAAGTGTAGTTGTGTTTACTCCCCTCACTCAAAAACAATCAACCTCAATGCAGAAAACTGACATTTACACTTACCATATTCCCCTGAATACTGTGAATGATTAATGATGAATTATTAATTATTCAGATATTGCAGCAGCGGATGTTAGATGGGAAAAGTGAGACAGTGAGAGAGGGCTGAACTAGAGATGCAGGCAGGAAGTTTGCCTTCTATTCCTGAGACAGAGTGCAGAGACCACTGCGTTCTGCTTCAGATCGAGGGCACCGAGATCTGTGCGGTGGTAAAGCACTTGCAGTGATCTCCTTTTTATCCTTGTTATGGAACTCGCTGCTCCAGTTCCCATGTCAAACTTTTAGCACATTAAGGGATTTGCTTTATAATCTGACAGATGCGCAGAACTGAAGACAAAAAAAAAACACGTAGACTATTTTCATTTCGAGCTGACAAAGAAGGCGTAGTGAATCTTTTAACAACTCGGAGGTTAATCCAAAACAAAGAAAGGACTGAGGTTTAAATGGAGAGTTGACACAAAAATGAAGATTATTTTATGATTCATGGTTTATGTTGGTGGTTTGATTCAAGTCTTCTCAATTTGATTTAGACTCTGTGTTCATCATGAGATGATCAAGGATTTTATTAGGACCTCACAGACTTTTATTGCATGAACATGAACAGCTGAAACATTCTTCAAATTGTTTTTTTTTTGTGTTCCCTAGATAAACAAGAAAATCGTACAGGTTTGCAATGACATACGGGTGAGTAAATATGGATGGAATTCTCATTTTTGGGTGAACAAAACCTCCAAGATACAACAGCAGAGTGTTTATCATTAGAACATTGGACAATTTACCTGCACCACACAAGCCTGATGGTCGCCGTCCCGTGTGCATCCAGTCTCTTTTCATCCTCTGCAGCAGTCTGAGAGCAGTCATCGAAACCTCGTGAGTCTTTTCACCGAACTCCAACATGTGGGCGAATCGTGGAATGTACAGACATGGATCTATGAATAGAAATCAACAGATCTGTAATCAGTGACTGGACACGAAGAACATAACCTAAATTTGTAACTCCAATTTGAAAACTGAGTTTGACTTTATTACAAATCAAGGCTTTTCATCTCTGTGTACCTCATTTAGCTGGTGCCCCTTCAAAAGATTCAAAAAAGCATAATTTTTTTGTTGTTCTCCATGACTCCATGCTGAATCTAGAACACAGTCCTCCTATGGGAACCTTTAAAAGAGGCCTGGCTTAGTCAATCCGTGGGAGCAAATATCCCTCACTTCCACCTACTTCTAAGTCCTTGGGTAAACTCATTCTGCTGGCCCAATAAAGCCCAAACATCACTGCTGTCCTAATAAGAAGGAAATGATCTCAGCTAAGGAAGGCGGCCATCTATGATCCTATCTAAGGCTACACTATAAGGACTGCACCTGCACTTATGAGACATAGTATGTTCATTGAAATCTCCCTAGACTGGGTCTGTCACTGGCCTTTTTATACTGCCAAGCAATTTTATATTAAATTATAATATTTATTGATGCAGTACTAGAGCAGAGCAGTTGACAGAAAAAAATATTCAGTGCCGTTTAAAAAATTTAATTTTCTTATGTAACATTCTTTGGAATGATCCATACTGCTCTGAAAAATAAATTGATTTTCAGACTTCTATTTCAGTCATGGCTGTAAAATGATCTGATTTGTGAGAATGTGGCTGTCAGTTTGATTAAGGGAAAAGTGACAAATGAATACAGGGAGAAATAATCAATTAGATCTGTGAGAATTGTTGGTGGGGATGGGAAACTTGGCTTTGCAGAAAAAGAGTCCTCTTGGTGAGGGTTGTACACAGCAGTACAGTTAGGAAAAATCCTCCTTGAGAAAGCCACATGCTGCATATTCCAACAACAGAGACCCTACTGAAGCAAAAGTATGGATGATGCTCTTCAATTTAGTGCTATAACAGGTTTTGATCTAGGTTGAACAATGACATCCCTTAGAAGATGCATTGAGGGATCAGATGTCTCAAACTTATTCTCTGACCTTGTCCTTCACTTGTCTGATGTGTCTTTAATTGTTAAATCATCATTTGCTTAGGGGGAAGCTTGATTCTGACACAGTGGGAGTGCTAAACTGAAAGCACTCATCAAGATCTTTTGAAATTAGCACATGGCAGAAGTGGTATTTTCAATATGCAGTTAATTCTGCAGCCCAAAGTGTAAATGTATAAAAATCCACATAAAACTATAGAAATGCATATAAGAGAACAAAACTGCTGAATGAATACTATACGACAAAACTAATAAACAGTGACTGTGAAAAAAACGTCATCTTACTGTAACTGCAAGGTATTATACTGTTAAACCTCTAAATAGTTAATATACACTAGAGATGTGTGGGGTGGGGTGTGGTGACGTCACAATCATGTTGCATTGTGGTACATGCCGCTGCCTGAAATGTACATACGAGTAGACTTGTGTCCTAAGTTAAGTTTAAAATCTAGAGAATGAAGGTCTGTTCATATAAACTTCCCTTGTCCACCTGATGAAATGGAACGCACTACAAAATGGTGGTGGGGATTATGGCATTCTTCCCTATACTATATAGAAGGGGAAAAACAGTATGTGAAAAGAGTAGTGTCCAAATTCACAGTATTAACAAAACAGTAGGCGAAAAGTTCAGGACTTACTACTTCCTGTGAGATTTACGGTATACTTCTTATTCATTTCTGTAGTATCTGTCAACAGTGATAAACTGTCACATTAATGGCTGTTGCTGCTACACAGCTGCGTATTGTACTGCTTTTTTACTAATTTGGTTTGCGTTGTTTGTTCACTTTGAGCACTTACTAAAAGCGTTATATCCACCTAATTTTTAATGTAAGAGTGGGTGCAGCCACTAGTAAATTGAATGTGCAAGGCTTCCGGTGCCTGCTTCCAGTTATTTTTAGCTGTACAAAAACCGATCTTAATGCTGCTTGATCATGCAGACTGGTATTTCTTATCATATTATTTTAATCTATTATCGTAATCATAAACATACTGTTTTTGTGCATATAGTTTTAACATTTAATGCACTTTGTTGTTCTTCGAGTTATTTCCCTATACCAGTATACACTGCCATGTTAATACCAACATGGCAGCGTCTATGAGTGGACGACTACTTCATGTAGAATAAACACAGCTTTTTCTAAAAGATGGATATGATTGGATCCGTCATCTTATGTGAGTTTATGTCATTTTAATAATAATTTCTCAAAAGGGTTATTGAATTCTTAATGTATAAAACTTTTTAATTAGCAAAACATTACTCAGCGCACCCTTATGACCTAAACCAGCTTCTCTGACCCAAAATGACTTACTGAAAGTGCTTTACATTTAGCAAATTTCGCTCTCTGTGTGCATGTTTCACGCACTTTGTCTGGCATAAAACATCATTGTCTAAATTGTGTGAGATAGATAAGCCGCTTATCGTAGGCGAGGGATCCAGTTTCCAGCGCCAGAGCCCTCTGTTGGAGATCCGGGAAAGCTGTGCAAGCCCAAGCGAGCCTTCAAACATCAAACCTGAATGTATTTTCCTGGCAGCTGCGCTTCGGTCGGCTCAATAAGGTAAAGAACGACTAATTATCTGCTATTACTGCTTTAATGAATCGCGAACAATGATTCATATTACTTCGACTAAAGAGTCCGTTTTGGTGGACAAGTCTATGCTGACGGTAGCTCTGTTCTGCTGCTACTTTATCTCTTTAAAACCGGTTTGTAAAGAATGCTCGCGCTATAATCATTGATCGGACATGTTAATTGTGAACGCGGACGATATTTCTACCGACCACATCAAATATTTGCTTAGTAGGTTGAGCACTTGGTAGCAGATGTTTATCCCCTTATGAGACATTAAGGCTGCATCAGCAAATTGACTGATCTTATGAAGTTGAAACACTGCAACTGAAGCTCGGTGATGGTCGTAAAGCGTTGAGTTCTGTATTGCGCGTTGTGGAAAAAGTTACTTTATGAAATTTTTAAAAAATCCCTTCAAAGATTTGCGCGAGATTTCATATAAAGCTGATCAAATCTGGCCTCAGGTGATGATGACATGGATAGCACTAGCGTAAGATACGATACAGTTTGATTTGGTGGAAGTGGTGACGTGAACATACATTGTCAACAATACATATATCGTGAATTAAACGATTCTGGCTCCGCTGCCGATTCAAGTTGCTTAAAGGTTCCATTATTCTTTGAGTAGCCTACGTTTTGAGATGTTTTGATGCAATAGAGCCGATTCATAAGAATCGTTCGATTCATAGTCGGACTACCCTGGTCGCGTATGCTTTTGATTCACTAAAAAGAACCGACTCGTAAGAGTCATTCGTTTGGGAATCAACGACGCTGATCAGTGTTGCGCTGAACTGTACATTAATTCGATTCGTTTATTTTTTAACGGAGCGGTTCTTGGTTCCTAACCCTAAAAAACAATGAGCAAAGGGTTAATTCGTGCTCGAGCGGCGCGAGGGGGCTGGCGGTTCGGCTCTGGGAGGCGCCTGTGGGCCACTGACGTCCGATTCACTCGTAGTTTGATTTGTCAACAGAGCTGGGCGTCGTCGCCCGTCACACAAAACGGGCTTTACAATACAGAGTAGAGACGCTTGAGAGGATACACCACAGATATGTAGGATGAGAAGGACCACGTAGCATTTTCTGTGTTCGATTCGGGACCTCTTGATTTATTTAACCGAACGTAGTTTGCTTCACTTGCATGCTGTTACTTTCATTGTACCAAGTCCGAGATGAAGGATCGCGAGGATGCGATGAGAAAGAGGAAAAAGTCTTCGAGCTGGAATATTTCTGCTGGACGGTTACGTTGATGTTGTTTTGTAAATGTGTCCAAAATGGAAAAGATGCCCAGGAAGCGCGTGTACTTAGAGTGACTTTGGCTTGTAATTTCTAATTAAATTAAAGGGAGCTGTTTTTCCCGATACACCTGCCTTTTAATTACTCTGCAGACTGGTGGATAAACTTGCCGATGCCAACAACGCCAGATTGCCTATATGGCAGGATCATGAAGTTTTTGACGTTTTTCCTTTTGCTTCCAGAAACATTGAAAAGGACAAGAAAGAGTGGGAAACAGCTCAGCAAGCTGCCAGTATGCTATGAAATCGTGACTTTGTCTTTGAAGAAGAAGATGGCTGCAGAACTCTATCCTGTCAGCATAAATACCAACCTTCCCAACACTAACAGCACAGCAGTCACAGCTGCCAGCAAAAAGACCATCGTCCAAGTCACTCAAACGGTGACAACGCCGACTACAACTGCCACTCAGCAGAACATCAACAATAATAACGTCGAGACTGCCAGCTGGCAGGCCACTCACCCGACACTGCGAGAGAGGTAAGGCGCATTCGGCTTGCTTTTCGAATCATCTACGCTGTTATGGATCCATAAACGAAATATTCTGTTGCATTTTGTTCTCTTCAGGAATGCTTTGATGTTCAATAACGAACGCATGGCAGATGTTCATTTTGTTGTGGGTCCGCCTGGCGCATCCCAAAAAGTTCCAGCACACAAGGTGAGCGAATTCTACTGAGTCAAAACGCATCTCAAATGCCTCTTTCATCAAGCGTCTGCTTGACCGCGTTTCTGTGGCATTTCTGCTTCCAGTATGTGCTGGCAGTGGGGAGTTCTGTTTTCGGTGCCATGTTTTACGGAGATCTAGCAGAAGGAGAATCTGATATTCATATTCCTGACGTGGAGCCTGCTGCTTTTTTAATTCTTTTGAAGTAAGTTCTGCAATTAATTTATGTCAATGATGTGACACTCATTTTCTTTTCAATTCATTTTCAATTTCATTTTCCAAATTCTTAGAAAAAAAATGTAACCACTGCTTACTAATATTTTGAAAACTTTTGTCCACCAAAAGTCATTTGGTGAAACCAATGTGGAAGAGAACAATGTTAAATAGTCCCTCCTCGTGACTGTCAAGGTGAATAAATAATAATAAAAAAAAAAGATTCTGATTTTTAACTCCTTTAAAATGTAATGATAATTATGAATCAGTAATTTGATGTTTTCTTTCTTTTTCTTTTTTGAAAAATAAGCAAAAAAGTATTTTCATGTATTCAAGGTGTAAGGAAAATGTTATAATTTTTACTTGGTTACACCACATTATATTTTTTAAGAATTATCACATTGAAAATTGTCTTGAATGTTGGATTAATATGGTTTAATATGAATACAAAGAGCAGATTTATAAGATGCATTTTATCTTTCCTCATATTTATTTTTTAATCATTTGTTGTTGACCCCTGCATGTAACTCTAAACTCAATCACTGCAAAGCCTAATGCTTGTATAACAGCTATTAAAAAAGACATTGTTGATTTCTAAGTCCTTTTTCTATTCACTTCCAGGTACATGTACAGCGATGAGATTGAACTTGAAGCGGACACAGTGCTGGCCACTCTGTACGCTGCCAAAAAGTATATAGTGCCTGCACTGGCTAAGGCCTGTGTCACCTTTCTGGAGACAAGCTTGGAGGCCAAAAATGCCTGTGTGTTGTTGTCCCAGAGTCGACTGTTTGAGGAGCCTGAGCTGACCCAGCGGTGCTGGGAGGTCATTGATGCTCAGGCTGAGCTGGCGCTTCGCTCTGAGGGTTTCTGTGAGATTGATCTTCAAACACTGGAGATCATACTAAAGCGAGAGACTCTCAACACCCGGGAGGCGGTGGTCTTCCAGGCGGCTCTCGATTGGGCTGTGGCTCAATGCAAAAGGCAGGGACTGGGACTTACCTCTCGTAATAAAAGGGCAGTGCTGGGCAAGGCTCTCTACTTGGTTCGTATCCCAACCATGACCCTGGAGGAGTTCGCCAACGGAGCTGCACAGTCAGACTTTTTAACACTGGAAGAGACTCATGATGTCTTCCTGTGGTACACGGCTGCCAATAAGCCCAAGCTGGAATTCCCACTGCAGAAAAGAAAGGGTCTGACGCCACAGCGCTGCCATCGTTTCCAGTCCTCGGCTTACCGTAGTAACCAATGGCGCTACCGTGGACGCTGCGATAGCATCCAGTTTGCAGTGGACAAGAGGATCTTCATTGCAGGGCTTGGCTTGTATGGTTCCAGTGGTGGAAAGGCAGAGTACAGTGCCAAGATTGAACTCAAGCGCCAAGGAGTGACGCTGGCCCAGAACCTAACAAAATTTGTTTCAGACGGATCTAGCAACACCTTCTCTGTATGGTTTGAACACCCGGTCCAAGTGGAGCAGGACACCTTCTACACAGTCAGTGCCGTACTGGATGGGAATGAACTTAGTTACTTTGGACAGGAGGGTATGACGGAAGTGCAATGTGGAAAGGTGACCTTCCAGTTCCAGTGTTCCTCGGACAGTACCAACGGAACTGGAGTACAGGGGGGTCAGATCCCAGAGCTGGTCTTCTATGCCTGAAATTGTCAGGACATCCATATTGCAGTGCATTCCGCTCACTGGAATTAAGATGGATTGAATACAGGGTCTCGTGAGGCTCTTGCCTTTATTATGTAGCAGCAGTGAACTTGATGGTAATGGCGCTTTAGAACCACAGTGGACTCAGATGGAAGGAATGTTCTTCAGCTTTATTTATTGCAAAAATTATATATTTGATTTAATTATTGATGCTGCAGCAAGAAGATCTCTCTCTCTCTCTCTCTCTCTCTCT